GCAACCTAGTTTTGTTGAGTTAAAATCCTTACTAATATTATAAATGTAAAAGTAACTCATGGTGTTATAACGCTTAACGAATCACTATGAAGCAGGAACTATATGGGATGGAGAAGAACTTTTTTTATCTCGAAACATATCCTGGTCACGCGGATGAAGTTACGACTAAAAACTAGTAAATAAGTATTTTGGTGAAATTGGTAAACTCATCATGCTCAAGATTAACATCAAATAAAATTTTAAACATTTTAATACACTATAATTTATGATTGCTGATAAAAATGGCCCCAAGTAGGGTTTATCACTCACCAAATCTAGGTTCCTTTTATCCAAACAACAGATAAGATTCATAATGGTTGCCTTTACTGAGCATATGCCAGAGAAGCATATACTATACAAGATGGGTCTATCCTTGGACACACTGTGCAGATGTGGAGTGAGGAATCGGAATCTATGGAACACCTGATGTGCAACTGTTGGCAAGTATGCGTATGAGTCTACTGGGAATGACTTATTCAGAGTTAGGGGACTATATCTCAAACTATATTATTATATTAGGATATCGCAAAGGTACCATCATTTTATAGATTCTATAAAATGATAGTAACCTTGCGATATCCTATAAGGCAGGGGAAGCATAAAGTTCATAATGGGTTGATGTGCAACGGCTTAGCTAACCCTATATGTGATTAAAAGATAAGAAACCTGAAAGCAAACAACTCGGGTGCATTGTATTATATTTTCGCTGATCTTTCAGTTTTACCTTTCAACTGTTTCATTAAAAATGCCGATATTTACATCTGATGTAGCGAGATCTTAGCCTATTTGTGTATTCCCAAAGCGATATCTCGCAAGTTTATACCGAGTTGGATGTTAGTTTGTAAATCATCTTTGCTCCGAATGTCCATGTTTGTTTATTTGTCCACTAGTTTTAAACTACGGGTTTGGTCGGCTTTTTAATGATTATTCTTCATCAGTGAAACTACTTCAAACCGAAACACTACTGCTTCGTGGCAGAAACATATTTGGGACAAAAGTATCCAAGCAGATGACTTTTGTACAAAATCATATCGTATTTCAATAGTGCGATCAAAGGTTGAGAATGGATTGTTCTCTTTTTGGTTGATCGTATTCATGGACCATGTTGTCTCTGTATTCGCTTAGGATAATGTGATCACATGCCATGGTATAATAAAAAAATCTGTTTGGTGAAGAGTATAAGAATGACTGTTTGGTCCTTTACCGTGGGTGTCGTAAGAGGTAACTAAGAGAGTGCGATGGATCGGCAGTAGCGTCTCGTTAAAAAATATTTAAAGCCTAATTGCGGTTGCCAATCCGCCTGTTAAACGTAGCAATTTCTGGCAAATCTTCCCAAGAGGCAGGCTTATGTTCAGCAGTGGACAGTTAAAGGCCGATATGATGATGATGATGATAAAAAATGGAACTAATCTTCATCACTACTTTTTCCCTTGTCCTCAAGAAATTTTTTTAGTTGTGAAGTATTTATACTCGTGGGCCTTAAGTAACAGAATTATTTATGATTCGGTACAACATGAATATAGGTATCTATTTTGAATTATTATTCAGAAATGTTTACAATCATTTTAATTTCAAAGTTTGACAGGTAATTTTAGGCTTGTCAGTTGTCCGTCGCAATATAGTCAATAACAGAAACTTTTATAACTTTGTGATTATTTAAAACACATTTTAAATATTACATGACAAAATCAACAACATTGTTACGGTTCGAAGGCATATCACCGTCGTCCTCAGGAATGGCAACACATGGAAATGAAAAGTATTATGGGTTATAGAGTATTTAGTGACATTTTTGGTGCTGTTCATGTTTATAGTCGACCGTTACCACTCTCCATCTGGTGGACCGTCAGCTTGTTTGCTATTTTAAGTTGTATAAAAAACTTGTTTAGAGTTTGCTCTGTTAATGAAATTAGACTTTCCGCATTTACCATAAATAGATAGATAGATAGACAATTTATTTACATTACTTACAGCACACAAATTACAATAAAAAAAAAAAACAAACATACACGTAATACACAGCAAAAGAGACAAAATAATAAAAATAAAAAAAACACAAATAAAAAAAAATAATACAAAAACAAAATACATAATCTAACAATCTCCTTTGTTACCATTCCTTCATGCGTGTGCCATAGTAACCATACTACATCAGCCGATAACTGTACACACTATGAATATGGGCCTCCTCTATAGGGGGGATTTTGCCAGTAGTTGCCACAATTGGCAGGCGGGTTGGCAACTACATATAATGGGTCGGAAAACAAGACAATATATTAACTCAACAACTGAAGGTACCATGTTACAATTCGTGTCAAATTTTTTTTATCTTTCTTTATTAATTCTACTTCTGTTTTTAACATTTTTATTCTTTAGGAATAATGTTCATTTTCACTGATAGAATTAAGAATAAAAAAGAACAAGGTTCCAAATTCGATTGTAGATATTTTTTATGTTTGTTATTTCATAACTCTCATAATCCAATTTGAGAAGTTCTTTAAAAACGTTTTATCGTTTCTTCTGGAAAAGACATACTTACAGATTAGTCTCATATAAATTTTATCAAAAACGGTTTAGTAGTTTAGTGTTTAAACAAAAAACTGCTTGTTGTGTTGTAAATACCAGAGGGAGACTTTGTACAAAAGTCGATTGCTTGGGTACCTCTGTCACATTCGTGTTTCTACCGTGAGGCAGTTGTGTTTGCATGGCTGTATTTCGGTTTGAAGAGTGGGATATGGCGTAAATTTATATCTGAGTCCTCAGGAATGGCAACGCATGGGGGGTATCATGGGCGAAACAGTATACTCTGTTATGTCCATGGTACTGCTCATGTCTATAGGCGATGTTTACCACTTTCCATCAGGTGGGCCGTCAGCTTGTTTGCCATTCTAAGTTGTATAAAAAAAAGTTCTGCTTGTACAGGAACATAATTTCGCGTTCTGAATTCAAATTATTTCTATGTCATATATCTGCTAAATATTTTGTCATTCATTTACATATTGAATTCACTTTAAATTTATCGAACAAATGTACTGTATTTTCTTTTTTTTTTTACTAAATAAAAATACCGTAATCTATCTATCATTGTATTACTTTTAAACTCGGAAAACGAAAGATAAGAATTAATGATACATTAAGATTACAAGAGCTCCACAATTTCGAATATTAAACCCCTTTTCCATCAATTCTAAACTTTAAAAGACAGCTCGCGAGAAACGATAGCTGTTCGCGTTATTTTCCTTGATATTTATAAATATCAATATTAATAGCTCACGCCATTTTGAATCTTATTTCGAGACAGGTGAGTTCTTTTTTCAATGTATCAGAAAGTATTTCCAAACTGGCCATCTTTGACGCGTCGGAGTGATAAACCAAAGTTGCTTTATTGAAGTTGGCTGTCAGATGATCAAAGAACTTCGAGAGACATTATATATTGAGGATTAGAGTATTTATCCTGCTTAAAATTTGCAAAACCTATTTTACGATACTTTGAATAAATTAATAATTGATTAAAAAGAAAAGGAGGACATTTTATTTATGTAATTTAATGTACGATCTTCATAACCAGGTTGATTTTTTTAAACGGATTTTTTTTTAATACAAATTAGAATGGTAAACAACAAACATGGAAAGTGGTAATCGTCGCTTATAATCATGAGCAGTACCATGGACATAACAGACTGTTTCGCCCATGTGTTGCCATTTCTGAGGACTCAGGTGTTATTCCTCTGTACCCTGTAAATTCACTGCCATATCCCACCCTTCAAACCGGAACACAGTCATGCAAACATAACTGCGGCAGAAACATGAATGGGACAGAGGTGCCCAAGCAAACGACTTTTGTACAAAGTCTCATTCTGATTTAATATATGGTGAATTGATGGATGATATTGAAAAGGTAATCTCGGTTGCGCTAACGGTATACACTGGCGGGACACCATTGAGGGATGATTGGTGAGAATGAAAAGGCAGGTCAATTAGGCCATCGTGATGAATATATCTGGAATTCCGCACGATGGTTTCCAGAGGGGAGCAAGTGGTTTTGCGTAAATGGGGTCGTGGTATCGATATTCGGACCAATTAGAGACGAACTTCTCTGAAATGGCTCAGATCTAGTTTGTGTCCTATTTATATATCTCATAGCTAAGTGATTAGCTCGAGCATCAGGTGATTGTGTGATTATATGACAAAAAAATGTATAGTCGAGAGTTTATCGAGTGATAATTGTAATAATTAAGCCAATACGAGTATTCCTCTACAATTGTACCCAAATAGGGTTCTTAAACAAAAACCTTTTATTAATAATACCATTGTTTAAAATCAATATAGACAATCCGTTTACACAATATAAACCAAAACAAATAAAACATGGAACAAAACTGTGGACAAATACAAATTGTTAACAAAACAAAGTTCTCGCTACCAACACAACAAATTTCAATATCATCGATCGAGTAAGTCTGCTATCACTTGATTCGTAAGAAAACAAAGTGGAAAGCGTACATAATTAAAAACTGGAAATTACTGTCCCACGGCCTGGTGGTGGCCAAATGTTCGTTCCCACGTGAAATACCTTCAGTGTTGCTAGATGCGATTATAAATTCTTCTTCAACTTTCAAATATTTTTTCAATTGATGAGTTCCTTATCTTTTAGGCAATCACAAAATTTCCTCCATTTTCACTTAACGTATCTCCTAAGTAACAAATATAAAAGGGTTTTTTCTATACCGCCCTCTTAACGTCATGTTTCTAAATTATCATAAATTATATATAATTTTTAAAATCGTAAAAATAATTATACACAAATTTCTTCACAGAAATTTTATTTATCTCCAATCTTTCCATTTCTCCAACACTATAATTTTTTTCTCACAAATGGGGGAAAAAAACCCAACCTGGCAACGCTGAGTACCTCCACCCTGGAGAACTGTGTGACTTTGAAATTGAAACACGTCAGTGCAAAACTAGTGATGTTACGATAGTGGTTAATTCGATCGATTAGGCGGTCCATTCCATTATCAACGCATCAACACGTCACACGTTCAGAAAACTTAAAAACAATGATTTGATCGATTAATTGAGAATATTGTTAATTTGCAACAATATTAATAATTAATTTGTTTTGTTTCAATTTTGAGAGAACGGACAATTAAAAATTTATCAAGGTAATTAAAATTTTAATATTTAGAACGGCGTGGATTCATGGAAATTATTTCAATAGTACTTATTCTCGAATGATGAGAGTACTTGCGATTAACATTTTTCGTGCAATAAATTGTACCTAAAATCCAATTCAGTATTTATTATTTTATTACAACTCTTAGATAAATATTAATAAAAATAAATATATGAGAAGTTTGTCTGTATTAGAAGCTAAGCTAAGCTAAGCTAAGCTGTGAATAAGAACAATACAAAATAGAAATATAATACAAAAAAAAATATCTCTGTTACTCGGCATTTAAATATATGAATACAATAGATTAGATATATTTAATTTCTGTATTGTCGTTTACAATTTTGGTATTTTAATTAAATCTAATTTAATTAAAATAATGTAAATTATAAACAATAAACTAAGGGATATAGTTCTTATCTTAGTTTTTATATTATTACAATAAGTGATTTAAAACATTTTAAGGAATCTTGGGTCTAATATTCAATGAAAAGGAAATTATTTAATTATATATTTACGAATTTGAATCTATAGATTTAATTATAATTAAATAATTGTATATTAATTGTTATCATTTAATCCAATTATTTATTTATAATATATGTAATTATTTTTAGTTTGCTTTACAAATTTACGAATGCACTCGCCAAAAACCAAATACATTATTATATTTGTTCATAGAACTTGTTAATTACTGGTGTACTTCAGTAATCAATCAATCCCCTAGCCATTTCCCTAATTGGTGTTAACCTTTTTGATACCTTTTCGCCATTCTTGGCTATTTTGCGTCATCTTGGAGTTTAAGTTGCATCTAATCATAGTCTTCACTCCGATGCACGACATTTCCGTATCGAAAACGACATTCTCATGTTTTATACTGTATTTTGCATACTTTAAAAGCACCTCGAAATTAAAAATTGTCATGGTATAAAAAAAATATATTTATGCAACTTAGAATGGTAAACATGCTGACGGCCTACCTGATAGAAAATTTTAATCGTTGCTTATAGACATGAACAGTGACTTAAAGAGTATTTAAAACAGAATAGAAATTTAAACCAATTTGACACTTTAAACAAATTTGTTTTACACTAGTAGATAAAATCTTTTCTAGGTGCAAATTATTGTATTAATAGTTGTAGCACTTCAGCTGCCCGCTAACGAAATACTTTCTCACTGTGTTGGGTTGACTGGAAGAGATCTCTGTCAGAGATAAGTCCACCCTTGTTCACAACATTTATAAATACATTATTTTATATGTAACTTACAAGTGTAATAAAGCATATATATTCTTTCAAATTAAAATAATGCGTTTACCGTAATTATTTGTAATTAATGGGGTTTTATTATTTATCAGATGATGACCAAAGTGAAAACGCAAGGTCTTGTGACCGATTTGATGCCAAATATCAAGTTGATGCAGGCAGCCGGACATTTTTTGTTCAACTACCATTCAGGTAAGTTTTAATAATTAAGCTGTTTTTAAAAGAATTAAATTCTCAACTGGTCTGTAATACTTGTAGGATTGTTATTCAATATTTACTCCAATTTTGAACCGTTTTTGGTTTATTTTTGCTATTGATACTTCTTTGTCAGTTTCGTAATATTTTTTTAATCACTATTAAAGTCATTCTTTTTATGTGATACTTAAAGCTTAAAGTTTATAATTTTTTATATTATAAAAATAAATATATCCACCATTATAACCCCTAATGGGGTAGAGATATTTATTGATTATTATCATTGTGCTGAACTTAATACTTGACATTTGATTAAATGTGGGCGTGTCATGTAATTTTTTTATTCTAATGTGTATGGCTGAACATATAGATATAAAAAATACCACTGACTTGAGAACTTCCTTTTTTGAAGTCGGTTGATAAAACATAGCAAGGGGTGATCTTACCACAATTTATGTATAAATGATATTTAGAATAGCAAACAAGCGGTGCACCTCGTGGAAAGTGGTGACCGTCAATTGTAAACACACACAGAATATACTGTGATGCCCATAGCATCTTTCATATGTCGTCAATCTGGCTTGTTACCTGTGTTTTCCATCACCGGGGAGTGAGTCACAAATTTAATTGGTACACAAAGATTTTAGTAACAGATTCGAATTTACTACCTTTGCGATCTATAAAGCATTTAGTCACGACAGTAGATAGATAGATAGATACTCTATATTGTTTCCTCCAAAAGATTACAGCAGTGCACTTATTATAAAAATAAACAATTACAGTAAAGCATTTAGTCACGAAGGTTTCTTATTAAATTATTTAATCTAACTTTGCAATTTAGAATCGAATAGTCGATTAATTTCACGTAACTCTCAATAGAAAATAATATTTCGATTAAAAACAAGCTTTTGACCCGCTACTTCGTACGTGTCATTTTAATCAGTAGAAATACCAATACATCACTTCTAGGAGACGTATTAAAATAAAGCATACTCTAGTTTTTAAGTTAGACTTTTAAGAATACAACTGTGAAAATCGCATCCAATTTAGTGTAGTCGTTTTTTTACACAAAACGACAATGTTGCTGAAACAAACATAGAGACAAAAAGACACGATTTCCAAAAATCATTTCTTGGCTTTTTATTAATACCCCTTATATATTGTTTCTTGTTATCGTTATTGCCTATTGTTATCTCATTGAGATTATTTTTTGTAATTGTTTATATTTATAATAAGTGTATTATTGTAATCTTTTGGAGGAAACAATAAAGAGTATCTATCTATCTTTCTATATATTTTTTCTTAAATATCTCCCATTTCACCAGAGGGAGAGTTCACTTTTGTAGAAAAGTCGATTGCTTAGGTACTTCTGTCCCATTCGTGTTTCAACCGTGAAGCAGTTGTGTTTGCATGGCTGTGTTTCGGTTTGAAGGGTGAGATATGGCGTGAATTTACTGTGTACTGAGGAATAACACCTGAGTCCTCAGGAATGCAACGCGAAACAGTATACTCTGTTAAGTCCATGGTACTGCTCATGTCTATAAGCGACGGTTACCACGTTCCATCAGGTGGGCCGTCAGCTTGTTTGCCATTCTAAGTTGTATAAAAAAAAAAAGTTGTTTATTTGCAATTTTATTATATTAGTAAGATTGCATGTTGAAATCAGTAGATGGGCAAGGAAACATTGTTTCACAAGTCCCTCTTTTAGGCAGAATCGTTCTCCTTCAGATTTCATTAAATATACACACGGCCGCTTGAATATTCGTGTACCGTAACATTTTGCCAACAGAAATGGGATTTGTTCGAGGATGTGTTTCAATTTAGCTAAAATACATGTTATTGGCTTGTTTTTCGGGTCGAAAATAGAACAAGAACTATTACTGTGACAAGAACTATTAGGAAAGTTAATACAATGGAATAGTTTTTAGTAATACGAGGGTATTGAGACAATAATGGAGTCGATTCTGAGGCGCTATTTCTATAAACCTATTTCTAAATTTAAAATTTTCATTTTATGTTATAGCGAAATATATATAGAAATTTTATCAAAATCGATACAGTCGTTAAGTTTTTAAATCAAAATAACACGTTCTGCTGATTACGATTACGAAGTCTATTTCAAATATGGCAAAGCCAATTTATATTGGTCTAAAAATAAAACTACTATTTTGAATAACATTTTGATAAAATTCCTACGAAAATAATCTGTAAGTATATCCTTTCAGATAAAAAGAGAATTTTCCAAATTAGATTAGAACTGAGTTTTGAGGTAACAAACATTAGAAAAATACGGCCGAATTGAGAACCTTCTTTTTTGAAGTTGGTTGCATATGTTCTAGTATTTAGGATCTTTAAAATTTTTTTTATACAACTCAGAATGGCAAACAAACTAACGGCCCACCTGACGAAAAGTGGTAACCGTCGCTTATAGAGCAGTGCACTGGACATAACAGAGTATACTGTTTCGCCCATGATACCTCTCATGCGTTGCCATTCCTGAGTACTCAGGTGTTTTTCCTCTGTACCCAGTAAATTCACGCCATATCCCACTCTTTAAATCGAAACACAGCCATGCAAACACAAATGCTTCACGGTTGAAATACGAATGTGACAGAGGTACCCAATTAAATGGAATCCTACAGTATTTGCATACTAGTTATTAGTGAAATAAAATCTTAAATTATTCAAGATACTAAAGCCAAATTACATTTGCAGATAACTCTGGCATGTCGATGCTTTTACGCAAAGTCTATAGCAGCGTTCACGCTGTCTTGATCGTGGTCAACTATGTGTGTATGGCCATCAATATGGCACAATACTCCGACGAAGTCAACGAGCTCACTGCAAACACCATCACTGTACTTTTCTTCGCTCATTCTGTCATTAAATTGCTCTTCTTCGCTCTCAACTCGAAGAGTTTTTACAGGTAATGTATTTATCTTTTTTTTTCTTTCTTTCTTATTGTACAGAAAAGGTTATTAAAATGTAAAAACAAACATAATAGTGCACAAAGGCGAGCTTATCTCCAATAGAGATTTCTTCCAGCAAACCCAATATGAGAAAACTGACAGTTCATTAGTAGTTACAGTCATACATGTGTACCAATCGACTTAAATGTTATAGTTAAAAATAAATAAATAAAATGTCTTTACAATTGAAAAGACCAACATGTATAAATAAATAAATAAAAATATATATAAGTAAATACATATAAATAGATAGATATATATTTTTTTAATTTTCTTTTGTCGCTAGTATTCACAAGTATTTACGAGCGTTCATATTTGTACATTATATAGCAATTTTCAAAAATAGTTAAACAAATTTCCAATCGTTGAATGATACAATACAATAGTATTGTATCAGTCATTAACTGCCGACTGCTGAATATAGCTTCTATCATAAGAAGGGGTTTGCCGGTAGTTGCTACGTTTGACAGGCGGGTTGGCAACCGCAGTTTGTCTTTTGATAATATTTTAAGAGGGACGCTGCTGCCCATCCCTCTACCATTACATTTCCTTAGTTACCTCTTACCATATCCACGTAAAAGGAAGGGATGGTCTATTCTATGCTGGAACCTACACGGCATTTTCAATGTTTCTGCTTTTTTTTATACGACTTAGAATGGCAAAAAAGCTGACGGCCCACCTGACGGAAAGTGGTAACCGTCGCCTATAGACATGAGCAGTATCATGGACATAACAGAGTATACTGTTTCGCCCATGATACCCCCTATGCGTTGCCATTCCTGAGGACTCGGGTGTTATTCCTCCGTACCCAGTAAATTCACGCCATATCCCACCCTTCAAACCGAAACACAGCCATGCAAACACAACTGTTTCACGGTTGAAACACGAGTGGGACAGAGGTGCCCAAGCAATCGACTTTTGTACAAAGTCTCCCTCTGTTCTTATTGAATAACAAAAAAAAGATTGTCTCGTTTCTTATGACACCCATGGGAGGGGAAGGGGTATGTTATACTAAATTATACTTATTGTAATACTAAAGGAATATAGGCTTTTAATGGATGACTATAGAAGCCGTGTATATCGATAGTTCGACCAATAAGGGATGATAGGTGAGGATGAAAGCAGGTCAGAATGCAGTACTGGGTTTTAATAAGAACATCTTGTGTGTATAGAACATTTTTATAAAGAATAATGATTTACTGATTTGCATATAAATATCTATTAGCTTTCATCAAAATATTCGCTCAGAGATTTTTTTTTTTATCTAATATTCTGTATTAACATTTTATAAAATAAATTTCTTCCTTTTATATGTATTATAAAACAAAATAAAATAATAAAAAAAGAGCGTTAAAAGTTTGTAAAGTGAAAAATACCTTTTGTAATGTAGTTAATTTACATAACTTATTTATACTTCTTTAAGAGATTAAGTAAGATACATAGATAAATAAAAATATTACATTTTAACTTATATACTAACTAAGAATCTCTCAGCTAAATTTTTTTTCAAACACATACGAGATTATTTCAATCTTGACATTTATGTTTAGAACAAACTAGGGGATTCAATTAAATTAAAAAGACTAATCAATATCAGTCCATAAAAAATATGCTCAGAACTATAATTAATAATGGGGTAGTCAGATGTTGTTTATAATTGGTGTCGATATCAGGTAATGTAAGTATATAAAAATAATCGAATTTTTATGGTAAAAAAAATGTATTTATTCAGAATACATGTATAATATTAATTTTTTTTTAAATATTCAAAGTGTTAATTTAATACTCTTATAAAGGTGTACAATAGTACAAGTAAATATTTTTTTTTTATAAAAACATGGGATAGTAGATTAGATACACCGCGTTTGTATGAATGGACTGAAATTTTTTAACACTTATCACCCTATATTTCTTTAGGAAAATGTTGAGTTTTACTGAAAGAATGCTTTCGGAAAAAAATATTAAAGATTTAAGTTCCATTCTGTGTTGGTACACATACATAGAAGCAATGTACATGACTCCTCTTTTACAGTAGATACATAAGAATAACTAAACTGGGTAGAAGTGACACATATCTTTTCCTTCGTCAATGTGGCAATGTTCCTAAAATGTACCTTTATTCCTTTTAGTCCCAGAATGGGTTGAGAGGGTTATCACAAATTTATTCACGTTTAAGTATTTTACATGATATTGGTGTGAGTGAGCAAAACACACGGTTTCATTGGAAGATTTTACTAGAGGGAGACTTTGTATAAAAGTCGTATGCTTAGGCAACTCTGTTCCATTCGCGTTTCTACCGTGAAACAGTTGTGTTCGCATGGCTGTTTCAGTTTGAAGGATGGGATATGACACTGAATTTACATGGTATAGAGGAATAACACCTGAGTCCTCAGGAATGGCAACGCATGGAGGGTATCATGGGCGAAACAATATACTCTGTTATGTCTATGGTACTGCTCATGTTTATAGGCGACGGTTACCACTTTCCATCAGGTGGGCCGTCAGCTTGTTTGCTATTGATAGTTGCATAAAAAAAAACTTGTGCTTGCAAGTTTTGACTTATAAGAACGCGAGTTGGACGCGAGCCATCAACGTATCTTCTTTTATTTTATTATTGAATTCGCAAGAAAGCCACTTCCACCTAGATATATATTCTTATGATAGACACACAGTTTGCATTAGTTTCAAGGTACACTTCATAATTAATTGCATGTGTACAGAAACTAGATTTCTCTAAACAACTCGACGTAATGAATTATTTCAGTTTAGATAGACATAAACCTACATTAAAATAAATATTAAGAAGGCCTAACTAATATAGAAATTCTACCTTATACTTAATCTATGTATGTAACTTAATCACTAAATATTTTTAGGAGTAAACTTAAAGAGCATTTTCTATCTTAATGAACATATATTTATTTACCTGTATGTGTAGGTATATATATGTCAATGCATGTGTGTATATATACAATTAAATATAATGTAATTAGTTATGTATAAACATAAGTTTGTCTAATTCTTTTGTTTGAAAATTGTCACAATATTGTAACACCGCTCTCCCCGCTGACATTGATGCTCCTTTCTACTTTGGGTTTGCTGGAAGAGAACTCTTTTAGAGTTATGTTATTTATAATTTATGTATAATCAGTGTGTACAATAAATTTTTAAATAAATAAATGACTTACTAATATAGGTATTAAAGTTTATAAATAATTATGTTTGTTGCCTAGTTACATTTAAACGGTTCAATGGAAATTAATAAAATCTGGCACACAAGTATGCCCCGTATGGTCCTAGTATGGAATGGGTCACCCCTTCCTTTCTCATAGATGTGTAAGAGTCGACTAAGGGAACTTAATGATTGTGGGATGGGCAGCAGCGTCTCTCTTAAGATATTATCAAAGCCTAACTGCGGTTGCCAACTCGCCTGCCAAACGTGACGACTATTAGCGAAACAGGGTACTTTTTATATTAATTTACACAAGTAAAAATATATTTTTCAGTTAGTACCTATTTATAAAATTACAATTGTATCTTATTACATAAAAAAGGCCTTTGAATTGAACCAAAATGAGTATATGTCAAACACAGGATTTACGCCCGCATCGATTTTATGTTCTGTTATTTTTTTACGTTATTATTGCACGTTTCTTTTTTATTTGAATATATTAAATATCTTTCAATGTAATATTTTATTCCAATAACATATTTATGAACGGCTTTCACAATTTATCACCTTTCAAGAGTGTCTGAAAAACGTCGCTGGAATGTCACCGAAGAAATAAACAAAAATAATAAAATCCCGCCATTGCGTTGGGTCGCTACAAAGAAAATTCATTTCCACACAATTTTAATTTAACAAGCGAATACAAAGGCCCTTGAATAGAAAATAATTTTCTCGGCGTCGACGCCCCCATTTTCTTTTATCTTAACAGAGCACTGATTTGACTTAGAGTAAATAATGATTCAGTGTCTACATAATTTTTTCTGTATTTGCTCTAAAGCTTAATTATATATATTTTTTTCTCAGAGTCGTTGAACTGCGATTTATGTAATTATTTAGTATCTACTAGTTGTTTCCTACGACTCTTTCTGTGTTTAATAATTTAGATAGTTCCTATTTCTATGACTTTTTTTTTGAAAATATATTATTTAGTGCTAACTTACGCGTGAAAGACTCTAGTCTACAAAAATTTTCATAATTTCTAGATGCAGAAGTTTTGATTATATTCATATCAATTTGGTTATTCATCCAATTAGTAAAGATCTCTATGTTTTACGTGACTTCATATAACAAAGAGGTCAGACTGTATTTTAATTTGTGGTAAAACATGCACTTTATATTTTAATGTAATAACTACCAGTTTAAATTACGTGTAATTTAGTTAAGAAATCTCGACTAGTTTCAGGATTAATAGGGACCCCATAGTCTGGAGCAGCTATGATTCAGCCACTTTTCCATGATGATGATGATGATAGATAACATTATAATAATTAGAGTTCTATTGATTATATATTATATTAGTTAAATGTCGTAAAAAAAAATATTGCAATTATATTATTCATGAATGGATGTAGATACATATATCTAATTCCAGTAAAGCCACCTTGAGGGTGTATATATATATATATATATATATTCTGTAAATAAAGGTAAACATAACCATAAGGCTGAAAGTAAAAAGCAACATTGGCCCTAACTCATGCATATGTAACTTAAAATAAACAAACTTTTCCGAACAATCGAAAGAGTAAGAATTTTGATATCATTTTTCAGGAATAAAAATACAAGAGCAGACTTTTATGAAAAATAACATAAAAACAAATAGATAAAATAAATATGAGTATTTCATAAATTTATTTTTCTTTATGGTTGACAGGTATTTAACATTCATTCTGCCTTTTGGACCATACATGTATGAGTTTATGAAGTTATAAATAAAATATATATAAATTTAATGAATTTTTTTTGTATAAAAAAAAATATTTTTTTAATTGAAACAACTATACTGTTTCTACCTCTTATTATATTATTACCACCTGGCATTGTACGTACAGTACAGTGACCATTGGTAATTAATGCTTCTTTCCACTAAGGGTTTGCTGGAAGAGAACTCTTACAGAGTTAAGCTAACCTGTTGTAGATCTTTATTTAATATAAATTATATGTTAGTAATTTTTGTGTTGAATAAAGTTTAAATAAATAAATATTTAAAGACTGTATCCCATAAATGTGACAAACCAGTTATTTTATTCTAAAAACTAAACTGCTAAGCCGATTTTGATAAAATTTCTATATGACCAATCTATAAATATATCCTTTCAGATAAAAAAAAGAATTTTCCGAATCGGTTAATAACTGACGGAAGTATGCGGTGAAAAACACAAAATAAATACCTACAACCGAATTGAAAACCTTGTTTTTATCGAAGTCGGTTGAAAAAACTGGAAATCATCAAATTTATTGAAATTGAAAAGTGTATTTTGTTATTAAGTGTTTTCATTAATCATGAATAGGTATAGACGTATATATAATTCTTCACCCAACGTCTAGAATTATATCTTTTTAACATTGTTATAACCTAGTATTAATTGACACTAAAGTGGTAATGAGTCGATATTTAGGTCAGTAATTTATAAAAATATCATAAAAAGAAAGAGTTTGTTCGTTTCGAACGTGTTAATCTCTGAAACTACCAGTTAGATATCCAGATACGAGTACGAGCGTAGCCGCAGGATATAGCTAGTGGTTGATAAAAGAAATTCAGTCTTCGTTGCGTGTCTCAGCCTCGACCCATAAAGGAGGGTCGAAACATTTTGAATATATTAATACAAAATTGAATATTTAATTTCACCACCCCACTTTCAAAGGTTTCGTTGCTAACGACTTCGAGTTTTCAATATTCTCTGAAGGATCAAATAAAATTGTGTATCAGATGAGTTTTGTTTTAGATTTATTGTATCAGCCGTTAACTGCCCACTGTTGAACATAACCTCCCCCATAAGAGAGCTTTTGTACATAAGTGTGAAAACTGCATCCAAATTGGAACAGTAGTTATAGTATGATACCAGAACAAACATACAAACAGACAGATTGATATTTCTAAAAAAATTCGTTTTGGCATCTAGTGATCTTATTAAGACCATAAATAATTTTTTCTTAAATATCTCTCCAGGTATAATATTTATAACTGGTATATTAGTAAAGTGAATAGGTACTTTTGACGAATTTGAGATTAAATTTTTATTATGTATTTTATTATTATTTTATACATTATAGAATACATGGTACTGCTCATGTCTATAGGCGACGGTTACCATTTTCCATCAGGTGGGCCGTCAGCTTGTTTGCCATTCTAAGTTGTATATAAAAAAAATGTAATTTTATTAAAATAAAAAAAAAATATATATATATCGCCTATAAAATAAATATGAGATCTTATTTGTTTAACGATTTAACACACCGTCTCACCTTGCAAAGGTTCAATGCTCGCACTAAACGAGGATTGTAATAATAATAATAGTAATATATTATAAAAGATCTGAACCAAATCACCGACTTCTGCAAACACTGCAATAGTGCATCAGAAACTATCCAGCATATAATTGGATCCTGTAAAAGTATTGTGCAAACGAACTACAAACATAGACACGATCACAACATTTATAAGTACATTATTTTATTTGTAACTTGCAGGTGCAGGAGGGACAGGGACTGTTAGTAATGGAGACTGAGAATCCCATTGCTAGCAATATACCCAACCAGGTCGACCTCCTCGCGGTTCCCCCTGGAAACTATCATGGTTAATTCCTAATGAATTCATCATGATGGGCTAACTGGCCTGTTTTCATTCTCATCTATCACCTTTCACTGGTGCTCCGCCAGCGTATCCCGTTAGCGCAGGCGGAGTTACCATACCATTTTCACCCATCAAAATAAAAAACTTACAGGTGCAATAAATAATATACATAAATACAAGCCCGAAACTGTTTTACAGAATCAAAAGTGTACGCTTTACTGGAATAGGATTATATTTACCGAAAAAACGATACACTGCAATAGATCGTATATCAAACACAAAAAAATAATAACACAATATACCTTATAGATGTCGCTATCCCTAATACATATAATCTCTCATCTATCTCAGATAAACTTGCGAAGTACCAGGATTTTGCAATAGCAGTGAAAACACAATGGCACGCCCATACAGTACATATTGTACCCATTGTTCTATCTTCCACCGGTATCATCCCAAAGACTCGAAGTAATAGCCTACAAACACTAAATATTTACACTAATCAAACATACCCACTACAAAAGGTAGTAGGTATGTTAATTTTTAAATACCTGCAATATTACCAGAAATTTCCTTACCTCGTCTTCTATTACATCTTCCTTCTCTGAAACCTCTCCCACACTTAGTTAAAGCCCATGTGGGCGAGTAAACCTTCTTTAATGTGAAGAAGAGAAAGAAAAACAAATTGTATTGTAATATTAATAAATAATTTTTATTCAAGTAAACTTAATAATAAGCAATTTAAAATTGTCATTTTTATAAGTTTATCGTCCAGTTCGAAATACTATTTTAGTTGAAAAGAACAAACAAGAAATACAACTGTTACTTTTTCAAACAAAATATAAGTTTACAACAAAAAAATTATTAATTATATAAATGTACTAGCCAACTCGGTAAACGTTGTTTTACCATATACATTATTTCTAAAACTATATATGAAAATATATCGTACTACAATTATTATATTCGATTGTTATCTTGCAACCCTTTTGCGGCATATAAAAATTGCGATTAAACAACAGGGATTCATCGTAAAAGCGTGAAAATTTGAATTTGTATGTATTTTTCAATGCTAAATCATAATAAAATAAAAACAAAAAAAATTTGTCAAAAAAAAATTAGGGATGGGTCACCCTTATCATTGAGGGGTACGAAAAATAGATGTTGGCTGATTCTCAGACCTACCCGATATGCACACAAAATTTCATAAAAATTGGTAAAGCCGTTTCGAAGGAGTTTGGTAACAAACACTGCGACACGAGAATTTTATATATAAGATTATGAGCAAATGCGATTACTGTTTAATTTCGAGGATTTTTTTCGGTTTCGAGAATTCAGAAAAGTCGATGGCCCTGGAAAGTATTTTATAAAACACTTTTTTTCTATATTTCAAGGACATTAGCTTTTCTAGGGAATTGAAGTTGAAAGGTCCACCGAAGTTGTGTAAGGATCACTTTTACTGAAAATTATCCTGAAGCCTCAGCCACATATTCCAAAATATGCGGCGTCTCTGATGCTTTATAGTTGCCTCAAGATAGAGCGCTATCTGTGATATTTATTCTATATATAAGTATTTATTTAAAGGACAGTGGCTCATTGCAAACTTTGCCAATATTGGGTCTAAATGGCGACATATAACATGCCAAATTAGAAGGGGTGATAGTGATTGTTTGTAATGGGGTCTTATCCTGCCCCATGACTGTTAATAGACCCTATCTAGTCGATCCCCACACCGTTCCCCCTGGAAACCATAATTGAATTTGTCATGCTGGGCCAACTGACCTGATTCATCCTCAATTGTGCCCCACCAGAATATAACGACAGCGCAGGCGAGATCACTATTTCATTTTCACTCATTAAAAAAAAAAACGTGTCAAATGATATTTATTTATTATTCATTCTTTACACCAGAACCCTTGCAATATGGAACCAGTCGAATAGTCATCCCCTGTTCACGGAGTCAGACGCTCGGTACCACCAGCTCGCGCTCACGAAAATGAGGAGGCTGCTGTACTGCATTTGTGGTGTTACAGTCTTATCAGTTGCTAGTAAGTACTCCATTTACTTGCCATAGTTACTTTTTTTTATAAATGACTAGTTTTAATTCTCAACTTCGCGTGAATTTACTGGGTACAGAGGAATAACACCTGAGTCCTCAGGAATGGTAACGCAGGGGGGGTATCATGGGCGAAACAGTATACTCTGTTGTGTCCATGGTACTGCTCATGTCTATAGGCGACGGTTACCGCTTTCCATCAGGTGGGCCGTCAGCTTGTTTGCCATTCTAAGTTGTATAAAAAAAAGACGGGAAACATTGCATGGCAATGGTAACCAGTAGCCTATGTCTTTCTCCATTCCAAATAGTGCATGTACTCTTATATCAAATTCATACATTCACATTTACAATATTAGAAAAAACTTAAAAATTACAGGGTACAAAGATATAACACCGCAGTTCCTAGGAATGGCGACGCATAAAATAAAATCTTTTACTTCTTGACCATAAACGTTAATGTTAGTAATGGGGACTAGCGGTCCCGTTACTGACATAAACGGCCACATTCTCAGCTCTGTCAAGTCGACTTCTACGAGGTCTCCTCTAGAAACCATCGTTATTCATTTTAGATTAATTTGTAAGGATGGGCCAACTAACCTAACTTCATCCTCATTTACCAGAGGGAGACTTTGTACAAAAGGGACAAAGGTGTCCAAGAAAACGCTTGGGCACCTTTGTCCCCATTCGTATTTCTACCGTGAAGCAGTTGTGTTTGCATGGCTGTGTTTCGGTTTGAAGCGTGAGATATGACAGTGAATCTATTTAAATATGTGTATTTATTTAAATGTACTATGTCTAAAATTACATGGTCGTTAAAAGCCTATGCATGATCGACTAACACCATGCACATTTGTCATTCAAGCAATCGTTTAATGTGTAATAGGCTTTGTTCAATAAGTGTTTTTTAATAACAGTTTTAAACTTATTAAAAGGTAGATCCAAAATATCCTTCGGTATCTTATTTTAACTTTTAATGCCTATTCCTATAAAAGACCTATTAACTTTTTCTAAACGATAATTTGGAACAGTAAGTTTGAATTTGTTAAGATTATTAGGATCGCTATTTTTAAGAAACAGTTAAACTGAACTAAACTGAGATCCTGCCATTACATTATAATTCATTAATTAATAATTCTACTACATTACTAATAATTCTCAAACTATGAAATATTATTATTAATTATGATTAATTGACTTAAATATATATAAATAATAATGAATAAATAAATAATAAATAAATTAATTAATTATGTTATATTTTGTTTATACACTAAACAAACGAACGAGTGAGCCAGCGAGCAGGCGGGCAAGCAAACAATCGATCAATCAGTCGAGTCGATCGATAATCAGTGGACCAGTCAAGTGACCAGTCGATCGATAAGTCGATCGACTAGTCGTTGAATCAGTGGATCAGTTAAGTGATCAGTCGATCTATCAGTTGACCGATAAGTTGCTAGATTAGTCGATGAATCAGTGGACCAGTCAAGTGACCAGTCGATCGATCAGTCGATCGATAAGTCGACAAATCAATGGATCAGTCCTGCGATCAGTCGATCAACAAGTCGCTCGATTATTCGATGAATCAGTGGACCAGTCAAGTGATCAGTCGATCGATAAGTCGACAAATCAGTGGATCAGTCCTGCGATCAGTCGATCGATTATTCGATGAATCAGTGGACCAGTCAAGTGATCAGTCGATCGAACAGTCAACCGCGATTAGTCGATCGACCAGTAAGTCGATCGAAATCGATATGGATCAGTCCTGCGATTAGTCGATCGATAAGTCGACAAATCAATGGATCAGTCCTGCGATCAGTCGATCGATAAATCGATCTATTAGTCGACAAATCAGGTGATCAGTCTTGTGATCAGTCGATCAATCAGTCGATCTATTAGTCGACAAATCAGTGGATCGGTTCTGTGATCAGTCGATTGATCAGTCGATCGATAAGTCGTTTGATTATTCGATGAATCAGTGGACCAGTCAAGTGACCAGTCGATCGATCAGTCGATTGATAAATCGATTATTACTATTATTTATTACCGACGCACATTTTGAACATGATATTATTCTTTTTAAAGATGACATTTTGATCCTTACCCTCAAGGTGGAGGGATATGTTTACGTACACAATTATATATAGGCACTGTTCTCTGATAGTGGTGCTCTATATTAACGCTGTTGTAAATAAATACAACAAAAAAGAAACCGCCAGCTTGTTCGCTATTCTAAGTTGTATAAAAAACCCATCACATTGGATACTTTGAAATAATAATATGTTGTATTCCAGGTTGGGTTACGTTAACCTTTTTCGGAGAATCGGTTCGATTCATCGCGAATAAGGAAACCAACGAGACTATGACAGAGCCTGCCCCGAGGCTGCCTTTGAAAGCTTGGTATCCATTTAATACAATGAGTGGGACTATGTACATTGCAGCTTTCGCTTTACAGGTTAGTAAAAATATATGTGATAAAATCTCAACGATGGTGGAGGGGGGGGGATGGATTATTAGTACTGAAGTCAAACAGCCCCATCACGAGCAATATTCCCTAACAAGTCGATCTTCACGTAGTGTCCTATGTAAATTGTCGTGGTCGTGGTCGTGGATGGATTCTTGTTGAATCCATCAGTATAGATAGCGCAGGTGGTCTTACCATTCCATTATCACCCATTAATCACCACGACTGTAACATTTAGCTCTTGACAGAAAGAAAGAAACTTTATTTTGTACAAACATATGACTGCACCCACACAGAGGTTAGAATTTTCCAAATCGGTTTATAAATGACGGAGTTGTGAGATAATAAGCACAAAAAAAAACAACCGAATTGAGAACATTCTCTTTTTTGAAAGTCGTTTGAAAAGGTAAATTCATTGTCGTTGATTTTTTTTTTTTAATTATTATTATACTTTTTTTTCTTATTGCCGTGTGGTTCTGGCATAAAATGGATGACCCCTTCCTTTCCCGTGGGTGTCGTAAGAGGCGACTAAGGGGAGGCGCGGGATGGGTAGCAGCGTTTCTCTTAAAATATTACCAAAGCCTAACTGAGGTTGCCCATCCTCCTGCCAAGTGTGGCAATTACTGGCAAGATTCTTTAAATTTTTTTCTTAGAATATTTTTTAGATTTTTTCTATATTATAATAAAAAACTACTATTAGAATTTATGCATTTCATTGTGCAAGCTCATCTGTTTCGCGTGTTTCTAATTTGGCCATTATAAACGATATCACCGTTTACAGTGATATGAAAATTCCCTCAGCCGACTTATCCAATTATTATTCCTTTGCAAATCCGCTTACATCCCCTCAACATACAAAAAATAAAAAAAAAATGTATTTGTACCTTTTTGTTTCGTTTTAATGTAATAATGTTTTATTATTTTGTGTTAATCGACTATACATATATATAATATAAAAATGTAATTATGTATTTTATGTAATATTTATTAATGAGATTGCTGTGCCCTTCCAGGGTTCATGTTGATTCTTTACCTTTAATAACTAAATAATTGAATTCAATTGAATTGAAACCTTGTTCTTTTTATAAGTTCCTAGTTACCACATCCTCTTTTAAATTACATTTCTCTCTAATCATATTATTGATTATTACAACCGCATTTAAACTAATATTATAAAAAGAAAAGATTTCTGCAATTGTCAAACTCAAAAAATCACTCATTATCATTTTATATGATTAATTTTAACTAGGTATTATTAAGTCTATCTTTAACTGTACAGTTTTTACCCTCGAAAATTCTATAGTTTTCTTTCAGCTTTTGTAAGAGATTCTTCTTTAGGATATTTTAAATTAAATATTTTATATGTGTCCAATGTAAATTATGTACAATTAAGATTTTACAACAACGACAATAAAAAGTATTTAACTAATTTTAAATATTATTTCACCTGTAGGAAACCACATGATCTACGAGTAACAAGTCCTGTATTTTATTAAAAAAAAAGAACAAAGGCAAGCTTGTTAGTCGGGGTGGAAATAAAAAAAAGCATTCAATAAAATAGACGTAATATTTTTCCACAGATATACTGGCTTCTATTCTCTATGGCCATAGCGAATTTATTGGATGTGATGTTTTGTTCATGGCTCATCTTCGCCTGTGAACAACTTCAGCATCTGAAAGCTATAATGAAACCTTTAATGGAATTGAGCGCATCCTTGGATACTTACAGGCCTAATACCGCAGAGTTGTTTAGAGCTTCGTCTACAGGTTAGTCAAGATAATATATTCTGAGGGCCTACCGTGAAATGTTTTCCGAAATTTCGGAGCCAAACGAAACAGAAATTTGATGTTAAAATTACATAATACATGCCGTTTGGAAATATTAAAAATGTTAAAATATTGTTCCTTTTGATGTTTATGATAGGATGTATGACGAATGAAATGTTAAAATCTATTTATTGGTTCAATTTTGGTATAAATAAAAACACGAAATTGAGTCTTCGGACTTTCATTTCATGGTAGATCCGCTGTACTCTTACACTTTATTTGTATCATCCGACATCTTACAACTATAATAAAACTGTGACTACATGACTGTACTTATATGGGATATATTTAAGAAAAAAATAAATGAGGGGTCTTAATGAGATCAATATCTATATAATCTAGGAATACAGTATATAATTAGGAACATCTGATACTATTGTAGTGGTCAATCAAATCAAAAAAAGAGTTAAGCTTTGCAACATAACATCTAGTTCAGTAAAATACATCAAAAATAATTCATCCACGAAAACCAGACTTTCTTGTTTAAAAAAAATCAATTTAAATAATCAATTCCAACAGAGAAATCTGAAAAGGTCCCAGACCCTGTGGACTTGGATATCCGCGGTATATATTCGACTCAGCAGGACTTCGGTATAACCCTGCGAGGAGCGGGAGGCAAGCTACAGACATTTGGTCAACCAACTCCGAATAACCCCAATGGTTTGACTCAAAAACAAGAGATGCTCGCTAGATCTGCTATCAAGTACTGGGTGGAAAGACACAAGCACGTTGTGAGGTTTGGTTCTTAAACTTTTCTATTTCTCAACCGACTTCAAAAAAGAGTTTTTCAATTCTGTTGTACTATTTTTTATATTTGTTACTTTATAACTGTATCAATGTCACTATCTGACTAAAAAGTAACTAGCATGTCTTATTCTTTTCATTTAAGAGTTTCCTTTTGTCGTTGCAACTAATTCATGCATTTTCTTCCAGCCAGTTCTATCCCAGGCCATATTCTTGACCTTCCTATACGACTGACTAGCATGTGCTGAGACAAAATTTTGCATGCCTTTAGATAAGGCGAAATGTGTAGCTCATTATTATTTATTACCATTTATATCACATTTCGAGCAAATAAATTATTTATTTATATTATTATAATGCGTCAATCAAGCAATCAATCACCAGAGGGAAACTGTACAAAAGTCGATTGCTTGGGTACCTCTGTCCCATTCGTGTTTCTACCGTGAAGCAGATGTGTTTGCATGGCTGTGTTTCGGTTTGAATGGTGGGATATGGCGTGAATTTACTGGGTACAGAGGAATAACACCTGAGTCCTCAGGAATAGCAACGTATGGGGGGTATCATGGGCGAAACAGTATACTCTGTTATGTCCATGGTACTGCTCATGTCTATAGGCGACAGTTACCACTATCCATCAGGTGGGCCGTCAGCTTGTTTGCCATTCTAAGTTGTATAAAAAAAATCAATGCCTGCTTAGCGTGGCAACAACAAAAACAAACAACTACTGCCAAAACCTCTTAAGGGGGAGGCTTACGTTCAGCAGTGGATAGATAAAGGCTGATATGATGAGGATGATGATAACTGTATCAGTTATAAACCGATTTTAATAATTCTTTTTTTATAAAAAAGGATATTATACACTTTTATATATATATATATATATATATATATATATATACCTTCATTAAGTCTACTTAATAAAGGAGAAGTACTTGCATCAATTAAGTCTACTTGTATCTACATAGTAATATACATTAAATTATGGGTTATTTGATCGATCAGCCATATTTTCCCATGTCCTTGTCACATCCAAGTGTGAGAGTGACGACAGTTGTCTTTTATTGAACATTTCTTACAAAAAGACTTCGATCAATGGCAACGTATCGATTTATTTAATTGTAGCTTTTTATATAAATATTTTTAAATGTGTTACTAAGAATTTTGAGTATTATTATAGTTTATTTCTATGAAAAGTTTTCAATTTTATACAATTGTCTAACTTTTTTTATTGTTATCAAGAAACAGTAACTATGTTTGATATTTAAAAAGTACTAAAAATAAAAATAAATTGCTATAAATAGATAAAAAAGGTTGATTATTGAATTATTGAGGGAGTTAAACTTAGTAATAAATATAACAATACTTGAAAACGCAAACGTTAAAAAAAGTAAAAGATAACCTACTTAAAAGTATTTTTGTTAAGAATGCTCGATTAGTTTTTTTTATGATACTTAGCAAGCCAACAATCTGACAGCTAATTTTTTCTGGTCTAAAGTGAGTTACTTTTCAATTGGTTAAAAATTAAAAATTGTGCCCCACAAAATACCAATTTTTCTGACAAAAATAGTTTTTTGAATCTACAAACTAAGCTGCGGGACTGATTTTGATAGAATTTCTGTGGAATCAATCTGTATCTTGAAATGACGGAGTTATATGGTAACAAACGTACAACCGAAAAAATATAACCGAATTGAGAACCTCCTACTTTAACCGACTTCAAAAGAAGGAGATTATAACTTTGAACAGTAATACTTACAGATTGGTCTCACAGAAATTTTATCAAAACAAATTCAGTGGCCAGTTTTTAAATCAAAATAATTGGGTTTGTTACAATTGAAGTCAGTTTTTTGTGGAATAATTTTAAATTATACATTTAAAATGCACTGTTCATGCCTTCAAAACTGAAACAAAAAGATTTTACAATACAATTGATGGTTGAGTTATTTATATGTATAATAGATATGCTGTGTTTACATATATTTATATTTTATATGTATCTACTGTATATATATACATATTAATATACATATATATAGTATATATCTGTATATTTATAATTTTATTTGTCTATACTCTGTTACTAAGTATATAGCTAGTAATAATTTATCAATATTGTTACACCATTATGCCCTACATACAAACCCTGTAGACACTTTCTCCTTTCGGATTTTCAAAGTTGACTGGAAGAAACCCTTTAAGAGATAAGTCCGCCTGTTTACATTTCTGTTATAACCTAATATCTATACTATAAGTGAATGTACAAAAGTATATAAATAAATAAAATATTTTATGTCTATATTTACGAAACTTTAAACGGTATTAATTATAATGATGAATTTTTTTAAATTTAATAAGTAAAAAATAATATAATTTTAATTTTTCAGATTAGTAGCTTCCATAGGAGACACTTATGGTACAGCTCTACTGTTTCACATGTTGATTTCGACGATCACCCTCACACTACTGGCTTATCAAGCTACCAAGGTACATTTTTAACCAACTTCAAGTAGAAAGTACTCAATTCTGTTTTTTTTTTTATATTTGTTCTCACGGAACTACGTTACTTCTAAACCGATTCGAAAACTACTTTTTTTTTATCTAGAAAGATATATTTTGTCTGTTTAAAAATTGTCACAATATTGTACGCTCCTTTATCCGTTGACATTGATGCTCCTTTCCATTGTTGCTGGAAGAAAACTCTATTAGAGTTAAGCTCGCCTTTGTACATTTGATTGCCTCTGTCATATTCTTATAACTGGTGTGTACAATAAAGTATTAAATAAATAAATAAAAATATATTTACGGATTGGTCCCACAAAATTTTTATCAAAAACGGTTCAGCAGTTACATTTTTAGATCAACATTTTTTCATTCATGGATTTGTTACAAATGAAGTCGGTTTCTTTTATGGGACACAATCTTTAATTATATCTTTGAACATTTACAAATTGGTCAAAATACATACTTATATTATATACATATATATAAATGTAAAAGTGTCCAAGTCTAGCTGTTTATTTACTTTTCACTGCTAAACAACTTAACCGTTTTTAATGATAATTTCAGAGATGAAAGATGATATTTAAATACAATTTGTCCCCTTTTAAAAATTAATGCCTTATTTTGAAAACGAAATTATACCATCGTACGTACGTATTACAGTAATTCTCTTAAAATTACTAAAATGATTTAAAATTAAAATACTTATCGCAGAAGAAATTATAAAGAAATGTTTATAGCACAAAGAACTCAAAAAATAGAGGGTTCGGTTCGTAAATATTGACAAATGACGGTACTAAGCCGATTTCGGGTCAACCTTGTAATCTCGACTCCATAAAGAAACTTGCCAAATGCGATTTGTGGGTGAGACACGAATTCCGGCCCTTTCAGTGCAAAAATAAAAATATGTAGGCGACTAAAAACCCTGGGAAAAGTTGAATAAAATAATTCTCTTTAAGTAAAGCTTGACCCTGGGAAGGGTTAAAACAAAAGAGGGTGTCACTTTAGGATTTCCAAGTAATATATACAAATCTGTTGACAATCCATTTGCAATATGTGTGGGGGAAGAGGTTATCAGTAATGCGAACTTCCAATCCTATTGCTAGCAATATACGCTATCAGGTCGACCTCCACGTAGTTCCTCCTGGAAAACATGGTGCTGAATTCCAGGTGTGTTCATCACGATGGGCTAACTGACCTGCCTTTTCATTCTCACCTATCATTCCTCACTGGTACCTCACCAGTGTATACCATTAGCGCAGGCGGAGTTACCATTCCATTATCATCTATTAAAAAAATATGGTGATGTATAGGGGAGAAGCGGATTGTTAATAATAGGGCTTAATAACCCCATTGCTTAATTCAGAATTAATTACATCCTCACTTATCACTCCTTAATTACCCCACCAACAAAAAGAAATAAATCCGGCGAGGTTATTATCCCATTATCCTACTAATCTTTTATTCACGTATGGAACCCGTTAAGGCAATACATATCGACCCATTGAGATCTTTTGTGCTTCTCCCTGCCTTATACCATCATTTTATAGAATCTAATCTTTACGTTATCGCGCAGTTTAAGATATCTATAGTCTCCTGGCTTTGGATAAGCCATTCTCAGTAGACTCATACGTATACTTGCCAACGAATGACAGTTCCACATCAAATGTTTCGATTCTGATTTCTCACCGCACATTCTGCACAGCGTGTCCGAGGATAGACCCATCTTGTATAGTAACCTTACTGGCATATCTACAGTTAAGGCACCCATTATGAGTTTTGTCTGTTTTTTTTTTATACAACTTAGAATGGCAAACAAGCTGACGTCCCACCTGATGGAAAGTGGTAATCCTCGCTTATAGACATGAGCAGTATCATGGACATAACAGAGTATACTGTATCGCCCATGATACCCCTCATGTGTTGCCATTCCTGAAGACTCAGGTGTTATTCCTCTGTACCCAGTAAATTCATAAAATAAAATTATTAACTATATACAATATATAACCCTATACATATATATTAAACATGTACCTTAATACTAGAACAAATATATATAATTATAGGTACAAAAAAAACAAATTAACATAAAATTATATATATATATATATATATATATATATATATATATATATATATATATATATATATATATATATACATAAATAAAAAATGCTAATTTATCAAATGAAGAATCAATCGAATAGAGAGAAGATAATCTAGAGGTCATTACCTATTTCTAAAGTTAACGACTGCAAATTTGCAGACTACTATACTATAGTACTATAGATACTATAGTACTATAGATACTATAGTACTATAGATACTATAGTACTATAGATACTATAGTACTAGTTTTTAGCGTCCATTAAAAAAATTACTTACTGTTTTAGATTGATGGTGTTAATGTATACGCGTTCAGTACACTCGGTTACCTCACCTATACATTGGGCCAGGTGTTTCACTTCTGTATATTTGGAAATCGACTTATTGAAGAGGTACGTATTATTTATTTCTAGACAGACACTACAATAGAATTTGTAGTGTGGCCCTTAAAATGGGCCATCCCTTCCTTCCTAGTGAGTGTCGTAAGAGGCGACTAACGGAACTATTAAGTTCCTTTAATTGCCTTTGACCATTAGATCAGAGGATGGGCAGATGCGTCCTTATTAAAACATTACCTGCCTGCCAAGCGTGATTACTACTGGTAAAACCTCCCATTGGGGATAGGTCTTTGTTCAACAGTGAGCAGTTATTGGCTGATATATAATTATCATCACTACATAGTATAAAATAAAGTCGCTGTCGCTGTCTGTCCGTTCCTATGTATGCTTAAATCTTTAAAACTACGCAAAGGATTTTGAAGCGGTTTTTTCAATAGATAAAGTAATTCAAGGGGAAAGTTTATATGTATAATACAGGAATAATATTGTAGAGAAACACTGATAAATATAGAGGTTTCTAATGTGATGTCGTAAATAAACACATTGTTTTGCGCTTACATTGCATCGCTGGCTGAACCTCACGAGATAAATCAAAATAATGTACTACAGTATTGTACACCTTAAAAAGGTCAACAAAAAAGTCCGCGATGATATATGTCTATCTAGGTAGGTATATTTAGTATCAGCATTGCATCGTGTGAAGCCGAGGCGGGTCGCTAGTATATTATAAAAAGTCCAGAGTATTTTGCGTTGTGTGGAACTAATATTTTCTTCTTGATCAGAGCTCGTCAGTGATGGAGGCAGCCTACTCCTGCCAGTGGTATGATGGCTCCGAAGAAGCTAAAACATTCGTTCAAATCGTCTGTCAACAATGTCAAAAGGCGATGAGCATATCCGGAGCCAAATTCTTCACTGTATCATTGGATCTCTTTGCTTCTGTAAGTATTAAAATTACCTATTAATGGTCATAGTGATACCCATTATGACTATATATAAGCTGAGATACAGTATATGTAAAATATATACATGAATGAACTGTGTAACTTGCCATAAAAAGCATAACTTTCAGCCTATCGGTGTACGCTGTTGGGGCACCAGTAAGGGGTAATATAAGGGTGAGGATGGGACAGGTAAGTCAGCCCATCGTGATGAATTCAACAATAAATGAATCACGATGGTTTTCGGGGGAAACCGCGGAAGGTCAACCTGATAGGATTTATTGCTAGCAATGGGGTTACTAATCTCCATTACTAACAATTTCTTCTTCCATCGAGATTATTAGGTCGACCTCAACTTAGTCGTATCTAGAAACTATCCTGGTTAATTCTAGCTAAATTCAGCATTATTGGTCAATATAGTATAACTTCATACTCACTTATACTATCACTGGTATTCTGCCAGCAATTTACCAATAGCGCAAACGGAGCCACACTCACCTTATTTCATAAAAACAGTCATTTTCAAAGAAAATTTTTTTAATCAGTTAAAACCTAGAACCTTCAATAATCGCATGTTAAACCACGTTTATGTTTCAGGTGCTCGGTGCAGTCGTAACTTATTTCATGGTGTTGGTACAACTGAAGTAGATAAAAAGTTTTATCGTCTGTGTTGGTACTAGCTCTACACTGTTGCAGGTGGTCCTTTAAGGACTTGAATGTATTCGGATTACGGTTAAGAGATTATACCAAAGTTTATTCAGACGTATATTCTGTTTCAATAGAATTTAATGAAAATGTTACAGAGTTTTGTTGAATCATCACTGAAACATTTATGATGAAATTAGTAACGAATCGAAAGATTTAATCGATTAATTGATTTTTTATTTCTAGTTCTATTCGAACATTATTTAGAACATCTACATTATTTAAATTTTGATTAAGTTCTATTAAAACAGATTATATTAATATAGATTATACAATTACTCTCTTATTTTCTTGTCTCAAAACCTATTTTAACTATTGAAGTGATTCGTCTCTAACTTCTGCACTAAATTCTTAATCTAAAAGAGAGAAAAAAACAGCATATGTAATTATTAAAATAGATTGGTGTCCTACAAACCTATTTTAATCAGTTTTTATTTAAGTTTATTTTTTTAATAAAGCGGCAAGTCTTTTAAGAAATATTATATATATACTTATACGTAATTATATATACTCGTATACTAAGTCTGAATTGCGAAAATAAATTCTATGTATGGCATTGCTTTTATATATGTACAAGAAGATGCGGCACATTATTATTCTTTTAAGAATGCATTCTATCAGTGAATTTAAACTTGTTTCGCAAAGAAATTCTAGTCAAAAAGAGATATTATTAACTCATGACCAACCAACAAACACCACGTAGTTGCTAGGCGGCCAAACGTGGCAACTACTGGCAAAATTCTTCTTATGGGGAAGGCTTATGTTCAGCAGTGAATAGTTAACAGCTGAAATGATGATGATGACTAACTCATGATGTTCCACGGCTGGACAAAAGTCTCCTCCAGGAGTAGGTAACACATTTTTGTGGTTTCTTGCTCTTTTTTTTTTTTTTTTTTTTTTTTTTTTGGGAAAAGTTTGTAATTTATAAGATTTCACCTTGTACGTCTTACAATCTGTCTTAACAATCGACGTGATAATGAGTGAACGTGAAAAATTATGTATATGTAATGTATTGGTATGACTGTGGTTCGAATCCCAGTGTAAGCCTTCGAATTTTCAATTTTATGTTTGGATCATTAAACCATATCAGAGGCCTTCGTGTATTATGAATCGAATCGTACGGTCTTCTCAGCCTTCCTTAAAGGACTTCAGCAGGGACCTCTTTGCTCCAAGATCATCATTGGGGGCGACTTTCCCCCAGTCTCTAGCATTATTGCCGTCGTGTGTGAGTGGTATCATCTTTTTTATAAGTTTCATTGAAGGACCTAGACCTCTCACTCATGAATGATGACTTAGTAAGCATTTTTAAGCTATGTTAAAGGTTTTCGTATACAACGAAGACGATCTCAATTATTGACCCCAGAGAGCATTACCCTTACACGATTAGTAGAGGCAGAGAGTATAGTACTACTTCTTGAGGATGAAAAAGAGTGGTGACATTCTAATCTTATTTTGTAACATCCAATTCAGTATATTATTGACAGTAAAATATAAAGTCTGTCAATATTTTTTTGGCGCTCTAGGTCCATATGCTTTGCACTACATTTAAGTCTTAGATTATATAGATAGAGAATTGTTTGTGAAAAAAGACAAAATTTTGTCAACTAAACGTCACTTTGGCCGACTGAAGATCGACAAAATAATACGCATTTTTCAATTTGACAAGAAATTTGATTGAAAGATTTCCAAATCAAATCAGCAGGTCTACTATTAAATTTAATATTGTTATCAATCCTGTCTATTGCCAATAACAATTTTGTATTGCTCTTTTGAAATAACAATTAGAAATTAGGTTAGAATTGAGATCGGTTTGTAATAGTTTGTATTGGCAAGTTACATTAATATGTATGTATCCAAACAATATGGAACTATTGTGTTGCTAGTGTTGCAATTCGAGAGTTCAAAACGTCTCAATTCCAATATTGATCTATTGGAATTTATTTCAAGAGTCTACAGGTTGTTTTAGTTATAATTTAAATTATAACTATTTTTTTCTGATATAAATAAACATATGTATATATTATTCATAAATTAATATACATATATTAATTATGATGGCGGCCATTTTCTCTGACTTTGACAATGAAAACATATTATAAGCTTACATTCAGATATAAATAAAAGTAATCACTGAAGATAGGCATAATTGTGAATATAATATTATCCTTTGTTTATCTCGTTCTTTCAAATTTATTCGTAAGAAATTCATTCTTTATATTTTTCTATTTATTCTTTATAATATAAATTTCTCTCACATACGTAGGAATAATATTTTCGTATCCTAATTTCTGTACACATAGATAAAAAAAGTTGATCAATTTTTACCGAAGTATTTGTTAATTTTTCCTTTGCCATAGACCACTATTTTTCTTAATTCCAAACAGTTCACATGACAATACTGGTATGTTTTATCTATTCTATAAATAAAACACAGGTAAATCTATGTTTATGGTGTGCATTTATTGTTCTAATCATATTGCAAATTTGGCGGAGTGCCGAAATTCTCGCTTGTTTAATTTCTTTCGGATGGCTTCGCGGACTACTTTAGGTATTTCCAAGAATCATTAGTGATCCGCGGATCACAGATTAAAAACAGAGTTGCCAGATGCAAATTTTTATTTGTACTCAAACATCAAAAATTTGTTTTTATTGATTGAATCTAATTGATGTAAATCGTTAACAGAACTTATATAGTTTATATAGTTTTACTCAATCACAAACTTATATAGTTTTTCAATATGCTTTGCCGTGTGTTGCATGAGAATAACAAAAAATATACTATTCCTTCCATTTCTACTTTCAGTTTATCTTTCCTTCTCCGTTTATTACTCCATTATCTGTTTTGTTATCTTTATACGTAGTATATTTTATAATATTTATATAGCACTATAGTTTTTACAAGTACCAAAACTATTTCCTCTAAAGCACACCAATTGCAACTTTAAAATTTCGCAAGCATAAATTTTTTTACCCGAAATTGTGACAAATATATCCAATTTGGCGACACTGGTTAAGAAACACTGATCTATGTAATCTAAGATTTTTGTCAGTTTGTAAACAACAGCATAGTAATTTGATGCATTGCATATATTCTCGTACAACATTCGAAACTATATACGTATACTGCTTACTGTTGTTTTGAAGCGCAGTGGACCGGGCACGTTCGGGGCCCTAAACGATCGTTGTACCTAGTCCTCTTGTATGTAAATCGAACTATATAAGGCTCAATTCACATTGATTGTTTATATAAAGTTTATTGTACATTTATATTCGAAACAACAAGAAAAAAAGATTCTCTTTTGTTTCAAATATAATTGATAATTACAAAAAGTTATAACGATATCCTAAATATATGGATTTTTATTTTTAGCGCTTTAATAATGAGAGATAAATAAGCTATTATTCAAACTAATTTTATAAATAGGAAAGATTACATTTTGTGTCTTTAATGGATTAACTGAAATACTTAACCGATTTTAAAAATTCTTACACCTATATAAAAGATCGGCAGCAAACCTGCAATGCATCTGGTGTTGCGGGTGATTAAAGGCAGTGGTAGTCACTTACCACCAGGCTAGCTGCATGCTCGTTCACATACTATGTTATAAAAAAAAAGCTATAATACATTATCAGTTATTAACATAGGCTGTATTTTATTAAAAAAAAAAAAAAAAAAAAACTGCGTAGCCGTAGCGAGTTCCAGTTTAAAAATAAAAATTAAACTACTTAAAACATTAATATTGCTAACAAAATAATAAATGTTAAATTTAAATTTAGCGAACTTCACAATGTTTTCAGGATACAATAATGTTCATTTTAATAATTAAAATTGGAAGTTTTATCTAACTTTCCCCGAACCTACGATTTTGGTGTTTGACACAACTTTACATTGAATCAAAGCCTCAGGGCTGTTGTCGGTTTTGACTGACCAATTTTAGTTGTTAAATTGTATTTATTGTAACCATTGATATAAATATAAACTAAGATTCATATTTATCTAACTTTTAAAAGTATTTCATATTTATAGTTATATGTATTATTTACAAATAGTTATCATAACATGAGTGGAATCGAATTATTTTGACTACATACGTAGATGTAGTATACTAACAACTTTGTAAGAATATTCCGGCTCATTTGACTACTAACGTCGCTCAGTGTTTAAAAGTGAGTGTAAAATTTAGTTAAATATAATTTTATTTGCGTTTTTTTATTTCTGGTTGTGTATCTAAGGTTTTATCATATCAATGTTTCATTTACACACAACAATAATACTATACCAGGTATTTAAATCATGTTAAAAATTACATGAACCATATCAATTGTTAAGATAATTAAAATCAGTTTTAAATCAATAAATATATCGTGTAATATATAAAAAACTATTAGTGATATGCCACCGCATTCCCTATAAAGTCATAAATTGTAAACGATTATAATGTTATAGAATACATATTGTTTTCAACAATAAGGCAGCCTTATTGTTGAAAACAATATTTTGAAGGCAACCTTATGGTGTCAGATTTCATTAATAGATAAATAGATAATAATGAAGTACAAAATAATAATTATATAATAATTATTGTTTATTTTTATAAGTTATTGTAACATTAGATAAGAAAATATATTTTTGAGACAGCAATATATATTTATAAACAATTATTACATCATCGAAAGAATTTAAATGTAAGAAGTATTATCATCGAATTTGAAAAATTTACAAATATACTTTAAAGATATTATTATCAAATAGCTGCAACTGGTGTTTTTCTCCCGTTATTTAGAATAAACATATATTAATTTTGTCTATAATGTCTTACAAATCTATTCGGCCGTTAAGGTTTGTGTAGAGGACGGACGCTTTGTTAGCGGACAAAATTTTCCTTTGTGTGGCCCATGTACTAGCACAATACGAGTACGTGTGCGTTGTAGCATGCAAATGTAAGGGGTTTATTAGAGCAAATTAAAATGTATGGCGAGACTTATTTTGTTGAATAAAAAAGCCCTTAGATACGTGGCAATAGAATTTATTGTTACAATCATTATCGTTTACGGATCAATGAGATAGAATGAGACGACAATATTTGATGTCTTTTCCTTTCTCATGCGAGCGATAACCATCTATTCTATTGATAGAAACGTTTACAATTTGTCTAGACAGGGCAGACGAAGAAAATATTTAAGGAAAGTAAGTCTACAATCAATTCTCAATTCAATTCAGGTCATTATGCGTAATTGAGTAAATTATCAAACATTGTTACATCACACTTTTTAATATTAGTTACATAGCTATTTTTATATGCACTTGTTTTGTACCTTATGCAGAAATAAAGAAGAGTTTATGTGCCGTTATTAATAATATATTACATCTATGTGTTAATTGTTGATAGATTTAATATATTAAATGTCTACAAGTTAGAAAATTTTAAAAATAATTTATCGATCGAAATTGTTTCTAAACATATTACTGAATATATTGTATTTTAATTTTTATATTTTTTACAATACTATAAAATATAATAAATATAGATATAATTATAAAGTATTTATCTATGAATAATATTGTTATGAGTATACATGAATATTTTTAATGAAAACAAAACTAAATTAAATTTATTTAAAATCACTTATCAAAAGTAGTGATATTTTTTAAACGTCTATTTATCACGTGTTAAAATCTTGTCGTGATATTATTTATTATAAAATTAGTTGAAAAATACTAATTTTTAAAAATCGTAAATAAATAAATGTCGTAAAACCCGTCTCCACTACCAGTTTTGGAAAGAAATTAGGCTTTATATATTTTCGAATAAATATTATTCGCAATATTTTAATCTCTTTAAATTAAATAATTTTGTATCGTTATTTTTTTAAATTATATTAATTTTACAAATTCTTCTAATAAATGAATGACAGTATTTTAATCATTGATATAAATAATTTAATTAAATTTAATACAAACAATCTTGTATTATTGTGAAATATCATAAAATTATAATAACAATTCTTTGTGATGTTAGTTTATAGTCAATTTGTTTAATTCTTTGTACATGTATGAAGTTCTTAAATAAATCACAGTATATTTTAGAAATATTTGTTTTCTTTCTATCCCTATATATAAATAAAATTTGCCGTGTAGTTCCGGTATAGAATAGATCACTCCTTTCTTTCTCGTAGGTGTTGTAAGAGGCAAGTAAGAGAACTTAATGATCGAGGAACAGGCAGCAGCATCCCTCTTAAAACCTCACCAAAGCCTAACTGCGGTTTCTAACTCACCTTCGAAGTGTCGCATCTCGAAGGGAAAGTTCTCTCAAAGGGGAAGCTTACGTTCGACAGTGGACAGTAAATAACTGTGTCATTATATAAATCAAATATTGTCAAGTTTCAGTATAAACTTTATGAATACTATTACATCATGTGCCCTAATTTCGTACTTATTTGCTACTCTAATTAGTCTAATAACTTACATTTTGTTTCATTAAACAACAGTGATTTTAATAGGTTTAATTTTTTTTTTCTCTTTATTTAGCTCAATAAACAGTGGACACAATAACAATATAATATATAACAATATAATACTACTAAATATGAATTGAATGGCGTGAATTTACAGGGTACAGAGGAATAACACCTGAGTCCTCAGGAATGGCAACGCATGGGGGTATCATGGGCGAAACAGTTTACTCTGTTATGTCCATGGTACTGCTCATGTCTATAGACGACGGTTGCCACTTTTCATCAGGTGGGCCGTCAGCTTGTTTGCCATTCTAAGTTGTATAAAAAGAAATTATTAATTTTAAGAATTATTCTGAAGATTTAAAAACCATTTTATTTTTTGAAATTAATAAAAATCATATTATTGGCCTACAAACTTCCAATGTACATAAATAACTTCGTGAATTAAATTGAATCAATATTTACAATACGAAATTTAAGTAAATATGAACAGAATAAAAATTAAATAATTAGCATCCATAATTTATAAGATAAATATGAGTTAAAAATTAAAAAAAAAATTGGCTTTCCTTACTACCATAACGTGTAAAGTTTTAAATTCAAATTAGTACGGGAGACACAATTTTTTTATCGATTCATCTTTTTGCAAGAAAAATATTTAATTTTATGATTTAGTAAAGTATTCAAATAAACGATTACTAATGATTTAGATTTAATATTGAACGTAATAAATCGTACAGCCTTATTCAAATTTTCACTCTGTGAAATTTTAATTAAAACTTAAAATGCTGTGAACCAACCAAATTTACAGAACACAGGATTAATCGAGATAATTAGTGGTAGAGAATTAAATTCGCGTTGTAACTTATTGGCGTATATATACACTTTCCTTATAAGATATATGTATATTACATTTAGTATATATGTGCCCATACTTTAAATTTCTATTAAAATCGAAAATTTGCCACGAATATAGTATATCTTATAAATGTGAAAGTATTTTTTATTTATATATATATTTATTTGTATATTTATGTGAATTTTAGTATATGTATATTAATTAATACTAGAAATTCATTCGAGTATTCCAATACTTCCCTAAGGTTGACTGGAGGAGAATGCTATTAGCATTAAGTCCACCTTATTCACATACATGTCACCATATCAGCATTTAATTGTCCATAACTGAACATAAGCTTTCGTTTAGGGGGTTTTGCCAATAATTGCCATGCTTGGCAGGCGGATTGGCAACTGTAATTAAGCTTTGGAGATATTTTAAGAGGAACGCTGCTGTTATCCCTCGCTCTCCCATAGTCGACTTTTATGACACTCTCGGAAAAGGAGTCACCCCTTTCTTTTCCGAGAGTGTCTATCTATATGTCCTATTCTATATCGGGACCACATGGCACATATACATGCATTAATAAATAAATAAATAAAACTCAATAAGATATTCCATGATCGTGATTAATTAAGGAATATTGTACTAATTGGAATCTATTGAATGTACATGCAATATACTACAAGCGGGTTCCAATTAGTATCATTGATAACGTTCTGAACCATTTAATTAATTAATTAACTTCATAAATAAGTTTCAATATTTTTTTTTTAAATAATAAATATAATAGAATGACAAACAAATTAACGGATTACCTGATAGTAAGTTGCAACTGTCGCCTATAGACTTGAACAGCATCATTAACTTCACCGGGCATACTATGAGGTCCATAGTATCTCTAATGTGTTGCCATTTTCAAAGACTAAGGTTTAAACTTGCCTTT